TGATCGTAGAAAATTGACTCTAGATAACCTTCGCTATTTGTTAAAAAGAGCATACGATAAAGAAGCAATAGAAAATACCAATAAAAAAATGTCTGAACTTAGAAAATTTTATATGGAACTCCACATTAAAAATATAGCATCGGGTACAACTGGAACAATAATCAAAACTGGTTCATATTAATGTGAGCCTTTTAGCCAGTCGAAGTTTAGGGAAATTAATTTTACTAATATTTTTTTAATCCGAATTTTTATATTAACCAGTTGTAGAGACAAAATATACCGAAGTCTCCACCTACAAAACCCACCTATTCACTCCTTACTGATCGAGCAATTTGCCATAACATACCATTTTCCTGGAGTATGTTAATCGTTTTTTTCCATTCCTCGTCGGTATCAAGCCATGATGATATGATTCCATCTTCCTCGAGAGAACGGTGGATTATTTCTTCACTTATTAATCTTTCTCGCACTGTCATGTCCATATATTCACTGGGGTCTTCTTCGGCCTCCTTTGCATAACCACACATTCTCGCATCAGTCTACATTCTATCACGGAATGCTATGGAATCGAGCTTATCTTTTTCAGTAATGGTAATAAACTTATCTGGATCCTCGCCAAGCTCAACTGCTTTCTGCCTTAATCGTATTTCTCGTTGCTCCCTGGCTTGATATCTGGGTGGGTATGATATCTGGGTAGGGGGTGCTTCGTTGTTGGACTTGGGCTCATCGTTAATAGGTAAGCCGGGGGATATCTCGAGCTCATTTTCCACAGATTCTACGTGTTCGATCTCGGGAGGCAGAGATATATCGGTAGACTTGGACGACGAAGCAACTGAAGATTTATTTGTTATATAATCAAAGAGGTCTTGGGTCGTGTTAGCAATGGATGGGACGGGCGATGAAGCCTTGCCTTTTTTGATGCGATCTGTAGGTAATGGTTCTGTTATCTTTTTTTCTGGTTCGGGAGTTATGATTTCAGGTATATCGAATACAGGAATATCTGTGGATGCATTGGAGGATGTCTCGGCTTGAGGTACGTCAGAAAATTCCTCAATATCGATACCCGATTCACGTAGTTTAGCTACAATCTTGGAGTGATCAAGGATATAGACCCATTCTCTTTTTCCATTGATTCGTACTTGCTTGCGTTCTATACCAATTGTTGGAGGAGTTTTTCCAAATTTTTTATTAGTAAATGGATTTTCACCATTTCTTTTACACCAAATACGATATTCCTGGTATAAATTTGAACATATTGAATTCTCAGTTCTATTTTCAGGCCAAGATGAAATATGATCGATTATAAATCGTTTCGGGTTTGGTAAATGTTCCAGCATTATATCTGTTTTCATTTTAGTAGCAGGAATATCTTGTGGATTCCAATCTGAGATATCAAGACTGAGTAAATAAGCCATAACTATATTTGGTGCGTCGGGGTGCTCGAGTACTTTGGCTAAATTCTTAAAATATACCATGTTACCTTTACAGCGGGAAGATACATCGAAACACACGATACGTCGATCACCCATTTCTATTCGGAGTGGAGCGTCATGATTACTTAATACCATAAACTCAGCATAATCTTTTATGACTTTCGGTTCAATACCTTTACGTTCAACTGTTAAATAATCTTCTGTGATAAGTGATTTAAGATGGTCGTTATACTTATTCCAGTCTCCACTAGACATACCCGTTTCATTCATAACAATTAGTTTACGAGCCTGAATGCAACTATTAAAACGCCCCAATATTTTTCCAAGATCGGATGTTGCATAGAAAAGCTCTGATCCAAGAACTTTCTTACCTATAAAATCAATTAAGATATTTTTTCCGCATCCTGGTAAGGAACGCAATACTTGAATTGTTCCAGGTTTTTTAGATGGTTGTTGTACTAGATATGCGTACCAGTACCAGAAATAATTACTAAGCTCTTCATTCCCATCAGAAATTATATTTTTTGCATGCCATAGAATTGAATTCATAATAGCAGGATTAATTTCAATTACTGGTTGGGCTTTGAACCCTAGAAAAAGGTTAAAGAACTTGGTATTTATTGGAGAAGTATTTGGGGGGTATGGCAAGAAATCAATATTACGATAAAGAATTAGACCTTTAATAACTGATCGGTCTATTAATGTTTTTAACTTCACTGTTTCACCTCCATATTCTATCATTTTAATTTCATACTTGGCAAAATCCAGCTTAGGCGCCATATCGTAGTAAAAACCATTATCTGAATCTTCCATTTTAAGTATCCATAATCTTGAAGTTGTTTGGATACATGCAATAGTTGCTTGAATTGCTTCATAAACTTGATTACGGGTATATATTTCCCCTGATGTGCACATATCAATTAAGTCACCCCATACGAAGTGGTCATTTGGATCAGAAATTCTGGGACGTTCTATTTTTTGGGGAGGTGATAAAGTTTTTTCCTGATTTTAACGGTCTCATTAATGATAAGTTTTAATGAAGGTTTTTTTGTACCTTTAGGCGTATCTTGATCTGCACGATGACAATAGTAACGATAGGTTTTTCTGTTTCGGACTACATATGCATTTTCATTGCTATGTTCTCGATTACATAGAGGGCAATGTGATCCTGTTATACGTCTTAAAGTGAATATATCTGGAGATACGGGATTTGGATATAGAACGTCAAAACCTTCGATATTCATTACATTGAGTAATTTCTCCACATAATCGACCTCAGCTCCAATAGTTCCATTATCCGCTTTACTATTTTTCACTTTTTCTTCCGGGATTTCTAAGAGAGGACTATCCATAACTGGTGCCTCATCATTAGGCGGGCGAAGCATAAAATCAAAGATAGTGCTATTTTTTGGAAATGATGGTTTTTTTATTCGCTCATGTTTATAAGTTATTTTATCAGTTTTTTCACATTTTATTTCAATCACTTTTGGGGTTCCAAGCATTCGTAAGGAAAATGATCTTTTTTTTGCGATATTATCGACAATGCCTTCGCTTTGTAAACCAATTGGAAGTTTATCACGAACAAGTTTAGTAAATGATGCAACTTTGGCAATATTTTTGAGACGAAGACCAAAAGTAGAAACGTGGAGAGACATCTTTTTCTTATCACTACTGCTAGCAATTGTTAAAGTATGGGAATCCCATTCTGGGTATATTTCTCTACAGGTTTTTGAAAAAGCACGATAAAGTAAATTCTGTATCTCTTTACCTGTAAGCTTGAGTTCGATTTTATCGAATTTTTCTTTAGGCAGATCAAAATCGATAATAGGGCGAAGTGGGTCATCTCCACCAATAAATTCATGTAACGAATGACCCTGAAGATCTGTAAGTATGGCTTCTATTCCATCTTCAGAATCTGTTCCGAGAAATTCTCTAGGTCTCACACTATCATCCCAAATCTTGTATGAATATTCTGCAACACTATCTGCGTTGGGGCCCCAGCGGTAGAACGCCCCGCTCTCTTTATAATCGGGCTCTTCCTCTATCTCTGGCTCTACATCCGGCTCGATGTTCTCAGGTACGTAGGTCTCCTCGCATCGCTCGAAGTTTTCGAGAGCAGGGGTCACGGCTGGTATATCGGGTGATGCGGATACAAGCTCCTCTAGAGCGACTCTTCGAGTCATAGGCATGATATGTTCACTTTGGGTAGACATGTTGTTTTGGTACTATACTATTCGAGAGAAAAAAGTTCAAAATGA